AACACTGCACTGAGAGAGAGAGGGGTTAATACAGATACACTGGACACTACAGTACATGAACACTGCACTGAGAAAGAGGGGCTAATACAGACACACTGGACACTATAGTACGTTAACACTGCACTGAGAGAGATGAGGACCATAACTTGTTCACAGTTTCTGTCTTGCCTCCCACAGAACCCCTCTCTGCTGCACTGGCGGCAGTGTCTGAGTGTTGGCGTTTCTGTGGTCATCTCCGGGCTGCGTGTGTGCACACTACGCCGTGTGGCCGCGCAACTGGTTCTCTGCCCAACTCCCCAGTCTCGCCTGTGGCCCCTGAAACACTTCAAGGCACCCTGGGAGACACCTGGGCAGGCCCAGGCAGATACACAGGCATTGCTGAGCAGATGGACACAAGAGCAGACAGCAGGAGACACGCGGACACAAGGACAGACAGAAGAACAGACACTGACAGACACAGAGACAGACGAACAGACAGCAGGAGACACAGAGACAGAAGGACAGACACTGACGGACACAGAGACAGAAGGACAGCCAGCAGGAGACACACAGACAGAAGGACAGACACTGACGGACACAGAGACAGAAGGACAGCCAGCAGGAGACACACAGACAGAAGGACAGACACTGACAGACACGGAGACAGAAGAACAGAGAACAGGAGATACATGGACACAAGAACAGACAGGAGACACACAGAAAGAAGAACAGACAGCAGGAGACACATGGACACAAGAACAGACAGCAGGACAGATGGATCCTGAACCAGACAGAACTACAGGCCCAAAGACTGACCGACAGCCTGTCTCTGTTAAGCCAGTCCTGCGGTGCACAGCCAAGCGGTCCAAAGTCATTGATTATAAGGTGAGCATAACTGTCGCCCAGTGTGTCAAGGATCGTAGAAAAGACTCTCACTACACAGCAGTCTAATCCATCCCAGGTTTTACAGAGTTGTCATCCAGAGTCCCAGTGCACTGCAGTCTGATCCAGGAGAAGTGTACTGAGATTGTGAGCGTCAGGCAGTGTTGTGTGTCTTCTAAGCTCTATCTAACCCTCCGACAGGGAGTGATTTCACGGGTGCTGATCGCAGAGGCAGGGCTTTATGAGCTTGATGGGGAGGTGGGGCTCTGCCTGGCCTATCAGCAGGTTCTGAACTACGGTCGGGGCCTGAGGCCTGGAGCAGAGGTTAAGGTGAGTGAGAGGAAGGGAATGATTGACCTTCTGTCATCTTGTTTCTTAATTACTTCTTCTGTATCTTTTCTTCATCTCTCTCTCTCAGTGCAGTGTTAAT